TGAGTGGTGGGATCACATCACCCTCACTTCCTGACCTGCCACAAGCTTTGGAGCTCACACAGCAAGTTTGCTGCTTGAAGCTGGATGGGAGACTGGTCTGGGGATGCTCCCCATTGCAAAGGAAGAGTGGTCTGCCTCTCCCCCAGGTGCTATCAGAGGTGAGAAGCTCATGGCAGTGGTGAGAGCTGTCCTGCTTCAGGTCTCATCCACAAGCACCAGGGTCAGCCTCACATGGTTTATCAGGTTATTATAGTCAACTTCATCTGGGTGGGACTAGCAAAGATGAAACCACTTTTTTGTTAGGAAGAAGGAGGGGAGAAGGAGCTAACAGAGTTAGAAATCAGATTGTCGGAGGCTAATGGCTGTGTCTGCTTATTAGGCAGCAATAACAGTAATTTACCTTTGAATCGCAATAATTCATCGTAACGCTTCCCACCTACCTCATGAACCCTTTCTGCTTATCTCACCCCTCTTGTTCAGGGATCTGAAAGCATTTCATAAACATTAATTAATTATTCCTCCACACCCCTGGAAGCAAAGTAAACATTATCCCAGTTTTGCAGCTCAAGCTGAGCTCACCCAAAGAGATAATAACTGAGCAGGGGTGCAGGAGCTCAGAGCACAAGCCCTTATCCCAGTTTTGACCAGAAACACCTTTCAGCAGAGGGCTCTGACACGTGGGCACTGGGGGCATGATCCAGGGTAGTTCAGTCCTTCATCCATGCACGTTCCGTGCTTGCCACCATTTTCAGATGGCAGGAGAGGTGTAAAAAGGGTGAGTGTTGCTCTTGCCTTGGAGATGTCTCACACTCATCACTATCTCATCACCTTCAAGCCTCCACCACAGGGACCCGGCACCTGCCAGTGTGTGAAGCACCTGCCATTATTCACAGTAGGACTCTCCCTTTTTTTTAATGACTACGTTAATGACCCTAATCTGTCGGTGTGAATGTGGTTAATCCCACAGCTCCAGGGACTAGAAGTTCAGAGACATTTCTTCTCCTGCCTTCTCTCACCTCATTTTGCATCCTAACCTAATGCTTCAACACTGAGGTGAGCTGGTGAGACCTGTGCTAAAGCAGAAGCCACCCTGTCCTGGCTTGGAAATCGGGCTGCTGTGAGTAAATATTCAGGACGCAACAATTACAAATCCAGGCCATCTCTCTCCAGCGTTTCAGCTGAGGGAAGTGAGCGACATCCTGAAACAAGATGCTGGACGTTAAACCTGTGCTCAAATGCCTTGATAGATCTTGGCCCTTGAGGAGCCTGTGACCCTAGATGTGGTGACAAAGATGTAAATTAAGGGGAGGATGTCCCCTGCAAATAATGAGCCTTGGCAGTGGAGAGAAGGAAGAGACACCAAAGGTCCATGCCAGGCAAGCCTGTTGGGAAGGGGGATTTTTTCTTCCCCTGAAAGCAGCAGTTGACTTTTGGAAGCCAAATGGGTTCCAGCATCAGAGCAGGAGGAGGGTCGTGTTTCATAGACAAGTCATGGTGGATTAAATGTAAATGAATCTGCAGTGTGATGGACAAATGGGATCAGTGCCGGGAACCCCAGCTCCTGGTGGGGGATGGATTAGTAATGGGCACTGGTGGGTTTGCAGCAGAGAGGGAGTGAATGGCAAGGCAGGGAGGTTTCCAGCATTGCCCTGCCTGTGGCACTGAACGAAAGAGACATCTCCGGGCTCAAAGAAGAGAGGTCAAGCCTAGATAAACACTAGCTTGGTCCCCCATCAGAGAATCACTGAGGCATGAAGAAAAACTTTAACAGCTGCAATGCTGCTTTTGAACCTCCTAGTAAAAGGGAGGGTCAGGAGGTCAAAACTTTCAATGCCTCTGGGAAGAAGAGGACTTTTCCCCACAAGCCTTTGAAAAACCGAACTAAATTAGCATGACCACACTGCTAAATGCTTGGGAAACCTGAACGGCTCGGGTCACAGGCTACCGGAGCAGCAGAATGGCAAAGAGCTGCTGCATTCCCATACTCAACAGCCATAATTAATGAGGCTATTTCCTAGGTGAAAAGCAGGTCTTCTGCCCAGCACCTGGACGGGAAACAAAACCTTGCAGGATGTGCCCTGGGCATCTTTTCTTCTCCTGATACCGTTGCCTTTTCCCCTTTCTGTTTCTTCCATCCATTTTCTCTCTCACTTCCATCCATCATCGTTTCAGCTGTTTTTTCCTCCCTTGCTCCCAATGCCACACAGCTCAACTCACTGTTTGAAGTGGGGAATGGCAATGAAGTTGTAATGATCTAGCCGTGCTCTCCCCTGGGGTTGCTGAATGGGAATGCAGAAGCTCCAACCTAACTAGGAGGTCACATTTTTTTTCCTACTTTTTATTGCAAAAGGGATATGTAAGAGCCCTCCTCCTCACTGTGAGTTATTCGCTTCCACTTTGAAGGTAGATTTTGCATTTCTGGACCTTTTGCAAGAGCCATTCTAGCAAAGACCAGGCAATGCAGACTTCAGGAGAATGTAGAGACCTGGAATTTTTGGCTCTGACTCTATCCTGGGTTTTATATTCATCTTGTACTGTGAGTATGGTGGGCACCACTTGTCATGAGACCCTTTGCAGGTCTCCCTTCACAGCTCCCACCACCAGAGGTGTGGAAAGCAGAGAGGCGTGTGCAGACCTTGCAGTGGCTGTCAGGGCTTTTGGGAAAGGGCTGTGTGCCTACACAGGGCAATCCAAAGAGCCCAGACCAGTGTAGCCAAAAGGTTTACTGATATGGACTGCATTCCTGCAGGCTGCTCCTGAGCATCCCCATTCCTTGCAGCCATAGGAGACCAAGTGCCCAGCAGCTTTTCCAGGCTTGCTGCAGAAGAAGAAGGAATACTGAATAAAGCAGGAGGGCAGGAAATAAATCCCCCTTCAGAGGCCAGAAGGCCCGCCCTTGAAAGACAACAGCTCATCTACCCACCAGACCAAGGTCTCTCCTCTGTGCAAGCCCAGGCCCAGGCAGGGTTGTGGGTGGAAAAGAGGGGATACAGTCTGTAGTACCCTGGCAGTCAGCTGCAGGGCTCTGCAGTGCCAAGCCCCAATTTGGCTTTCCTGTGATGCTGCAGGATCTTTTCTTTCTTATGTCTCTTGTTGTCCTAGAAACAGAGGAAAAATTTCTTCCATAGAAGCCCTTTTGTTACACTTGAGGTAGCATCTTCTGTCTCTCACTAAAACTGTGTATGGTCACAAAAAAAAAAAAAAAACCTTGCCAGAAAATATATGGTGAGTTCAAAATCTTCCAAAGAAACCTGGAAAAATGTAATACCCTCCAAACATTCCAAAAGCCCTAAAAGTACTGCAAGGGTCAATGGGCACTTTGTAACACTGCTACAATGTATGTTGAGCAACAGAAGGCAGTACTCTTGTGTGTATATGTATACATATACATATAAATATTTTTATAGATGTAATTATATGTATTATTTATACCCATTGTTGAGAGAGAGAGAGAGGTCCTCATTTCTAGCCTTGGATTACAGCTTTTGAAGTGGGGGGTGTCTGCTGGAAGAGAAAGTCAACATGCCCTCTGGTATTGGCCACTTTTCTCTCCTGGTGCCAGGGCTTTCCTGGAAATGCTGGGATTTTGCAGGCAATTGTCTTTATTTGAGAGGGAAGCTTATGTTCTGGGGAAAATGTGCCCTTCTGTGTGCTCAGCCAGGCAATAGATACACTGGGTAATTTCTCTGAGGCACATGAAATGTTGTAGCTGCGTCAGGAAAGCATAGTGACTGATAAATTTCCTTGCAGGAAATTTGGAGGCACACTCCCAAGGCTTGCAGGATCTGGAGACCCACTCCCAAGATGTGTCTCAAGGAATCCATGGCAAAGGGAGAAGGAGAGGAAAGCAGGCAGGAAGGTTTGACAGCCATGATGCTGACTACCTCCTGCTCCTGGGGGAAGCAGGGGATGTGGGGCACCTCTGAAAATCTGGGTTCTCACTCTTTCCTTTTAGAAATAGGCCTGGAAAAGAAACTTTCCTCCTCTTTTCCCTCCCAACCACAGCTCAGAGGGATTTAGGTTTGTGCCAAAGCCAAAACCCAACAGCTCTGCAGATTCAGGTGCCTCAAATACCCACTTTTCCCTCATGCCCCACACTGACCATGGACTGTAGCACGGACTAACACTGCTGGGCTCGGGGGGCTGTCCCAGGGAAGATGTGCTCTGCTAGGAGCGGCTATAGCTGGTGACCTGCTGCTCACCCACAGTAGGTTTGTACTCAGGAAGGGGTTTTGTGCAAACATAGTCTGTATCTTAAGACACTTCAGAACCAGGACACTTGTGCTCCTGAGCAGTGAGACAGCATCTTCTCCTTTGGGGAAACTCAGATAGGATTACTATCTCATCTGCTGCTGGAGAGACCAAAGGACCTGCTTGGTGATGATTCAACTGCTCAGGATGCTGAGACAGCCTTGCTCTCCTCCCTAAAGCAGCCTGACTGCTCAGTGTACAATGAGGACACGACTTTTCAAAGCTCTAAGATAGACCTGTAGCAATCCCAGCATGGAACCAGTGGGCACAAACCCAGAAATCAGCTCAGTCACTATTCCTGGTCAGTCCCTGAACATGGCCTCAGCACCACAGGAGCCTTAAGAATAAATCTGAGGCAGAGAAGATGGTCCATGAGCCAGTCTGGCAAACTCACCAGTGTGAAACTAAACGTTGGACATTTTTATCCATCTTAATTGATGGAAGGTGTGGAGAACTCTTCATAGGATGAGGAATCAAGGGACCATGCAGACAGCGAGACAGAGTCAGTTTATTTATTTTTCACAGTAATAATTTTACAAGTGAAAAGAGATTTCCAATCTTTTTACAACCTACTTAAGGTAGAAAGATTTAAAACTCAAAATCTTTTCTTAAAAGAAAGGCAACCATCCCTGCTAGTGGCAAATGAGCCTTTGCTCAGCTTGTATCCGATTGGAATCTCAGAAGACTGTCCAACCAATTAAATAAGATACATATCTCCTGAGAACAGCCTTTGTTGTTTTCTTTTATAGATCTTTGTTCCTCCTGTGCTGTAAGGTCTCCAGGGCATGGCCTGTGTTACGGAGCACCAGATGTACTATCTGATTTTAGGAGATCCTAATTATGAGGAATATGTCAGAACAACAGAAAACTTCATTTAAAAATCCAATTAAAGTTGCCGAGTGACAGCTACGGACTTGTGTGTTGCATCACCTCCTAGTCCCAGCAGCTTCCGTGTGGAGAAGGGAGTAGTTAAAGATATCATGAATCCTAGACAAGGATATCATAAGGCCTGAATGACATGGGGATTTTTCTGACCATAGGTTAAAATTGACACACATTTTGTGGTGGAGCAGTAAACCTGAGATCTGTTTTGGAGCAGTCACCTTGGGATCCAGTGTCCGATGGGTGGGTTATCCTTTCTCGTGAGTAGTGGGACATTTCACAAGATGTTCTGGATAAAGAAATATAAAGGTAACTCTGTGTGTGGCACTGGGGTTGCTGAGCACCTTCACCTCCTCAGGTCTTGCTGGAGCACCTGCACCAGTAGAGACCTCGAGGATGGGATTCTGATGCCATCACAGCCATCCCCATTGCTTGGGGGACCATGGAGGAAGGACATTGGCATGCAGGGTGTGGGGAGCTCTCAGGTGGCTTTTTTGAGAGATAGGATGGGAAAAGCTGACAGAGAGAGGAGGTGAGAAGTTTCCAAAGCTCCAGCATGGCAGCAGACACCTGCTTCTTCCAAAACCGGCTGAACCTGTCTCCCTGCTGTCATCACTCTGCGGGTTCGGGGCATTCTGAGCCCCTGGCCGGCTGAAGGGCACGGGGCTCGAGGGCTGCACCCTCCTCGTGCACCAGGGCAAGCTCTTCTCTCTGGAAAGGGGCTGTTTTCTCTGCTCTACCCAGACACCTGCTGGGGCAGGTGGAGGTCTGGGCCCTGCTGCGGACAGGCTGAGCACTTCCAGGCGGGAATGAGCCCGCCCATACAGCCCCACGGAGCCAGGAGTCAGGGACAGGGAAGTACGGGGTGGTTTTGCTTGGTTCCTTTTTAGGAAAGGAGGTTTTAAGTATTCTTTTTAAAAACATGATAATGTTTTCAGATTTTTAAATATAAATTAATAACCTTTCTAAATAAAATGAGAATTCAATACTTTTAAAAAGTTTTTTTAGAGTTTTATTTTTATTGGAGAGTTTAAGACTTCAGGGGGAAAATGTAAAATTTATTTATTTATTTAAAAAAGAAGAAGGAAAATGTAGAATTAATTTATTTATTTAAAAAATAAGAAGGAGAATTTAAGGGTTTATTTTAAAACGAGAGTTTTAATCTGTTGGTTTTTTAGAGAGGTTTTATGACTTTTTTGAAGAGAAGATGTTAAGGTTTTGGGGGGAATTTTTAAAAGAATTTAAGATGATTTTTTTAAGGAGAATGTCAGACTTTTTCTTTAAAGAGCCGAGGTGATGCGGGGGAGTTCCGTGTGGGGCGGGGCTCACCTGGCGGAGGCGGGGCTCACCTGGCGGGGCGGGGCCGGCGGGGCGGGGCGCGGAGGGCGGCGCTGGGGCCGGCGCGGCTCCGCGCTGCGGGGCGGACGGGAGCGGAGCGGAGCGGCCGCCGCTGCCGCCGCCCAGGAGAGGAGCCGGAGCCGCGGCCGCGCTGCCGTGGCCGGGCCGGCGGCAGGTGAGTGCGCTCGGGCGCGGCGGGGCCGGGCAGGGGCTGCCGCTGCTTTGCAGCACCGGGCGCGGCCCTGCCCTGCTGCAGCCGGGCCGGTACAGCCGGGAGCGGCCCCGAGCAGGGGGGCTGCGGCTGAGGCGGGGCCGCTGGCTGCGGGTGCCCGCGGAGAGAGCCGTCCCCGGGGCAGCCGGGGCCTCGCCCGCCTGGCAGGGCCCGCCGCGGAGGGGACAGCCCCACGGGGCTGCCAAGTGGGGCAGGGGCGGCGAGCAGCTGGCTTGGGGCAGGGCGCCGCAGTAATCCCGGATCCCGTAAGGAGAGCCCGGGCTGGAGGGACGGGGAGCGGCGTTCGGCACTGGCGAGCCCCGAGCCCCGATGCCACCTGCTCGGTGCCGCTCCTGTCGTGTCCCGGTCGGTCGAGCAACCGGGTGGCTTTGCCTCCCGCCTGCCCCAGGCACTCCCAGCAGCCCCGGCCACCAGCACGGTGCAGCCGGGCCCCGCTGGCAGGAGCGGCCCCGCCGGCGCTGCAAACGCTGCCCGGAGCCCCCAGCGGAGGAGCCGAGGCGGCGTGGGGGTCTCAGATGGCCGTGCCAGGAGCCTCCTCCCCTCGCATCCGTGGGACAAAACCTCCCGTCCTTTCTCCCTTCAGAGACGTCTCCGTCTCCCCGAGGAGAGGGGTTAAATTCCTCGATAAGAGACAGGCTCCAGCCGCATACTTCTGATGCCTTCCGTGAACTCTGCCGGCAGGTTGGCAGGTTGTTTCGTAACTCCACTTGTGGCCTGCTGCGGGGAGGAGGAGGGGGGGAACGGGACACCGAGCTCCTCTCCTGGTTTTTTTTTCCCTGCCCTGCAACAGCGCTTTGTAATTGCAGGTTAAAAACCCTAGCGTGGGTTCAAGGGTATTGTACAAAAGAAAGGGTCACAGCCGTGCGCCTCTCACTCCGAGTGGCTGCCTCAGGCACAGCCCATGGCACTCCCCTTGGGATGGCTGTTTCAGGAGAAATCAGGCGGAAACTCGTGAGAAATGGTCGAAAGAGGCGAGCCGGGAGCTGTGGCTGCTTCTCCTCGCCGCGAGCCGGGCCAGCTCCCCGGGATGCCGGTGCTAACGGGGAGGGCCCGGGCCGCGCTCTGCCGGGACTTGCCGGGCAGGCACCGGGCCCCGGCAGCGTGTGGGAGCACGAACGGCGGAGCGCCGCTGTCAGATGTGGGGCCGGGCGGCTGCCGGCACGGGGCAGCGGTGCTGCACACATCTGTCAGCGCTCCTCGAGGGGCAGCGCTGCGGGGAGCGGGCGGGAATTGCAGCTCTGCCTAGGGAGACGAGAGCAAACCGTGAGCACATGCTGTATCTGCAGTGGGCAGGAGTGGGAAGCGTCTTCCAAAGGCTGCTTGTTTTCCTTATCAGGCAGTGCCGGTGGTGTCTTCTCAGGAAGGGGCTGTGGGGAAGGGGGGATGTTCTTACCTTCTGTTGATGCCGTTGGAATGCCAGGAATCCTCCCACATCCCAGTTATCTGCTGGGGGAGCCTGAGCACGATGCCTGGACTCCCTCTCCACATACCTCTGCTGGCTTCCCCATGCCTTCTCGAAAGAAGTGGCGTGGAAATCCAGAAGCTGCCACAAGTGCACACATCTTCCTGAAGCCTTTCTTCACCGTGTGGTACAAAGTTGTGAGGCCAGGGAGTGCTGCTTGCAGCACCTGCGGGTGTCCAGCATTCACAGCATTGAGCACTGCAGTTCCCAGGGTCCTGCACTATTTCCCTGCAAAGGTATGCCAGTTGCTCTAAAATATAAAACTCTTTGCAAATGAGTGTGAGAGGGACATGGAAATTAGTTTTACCCAGGTCTTAAAGAGGCAGACTTGAGCAATAATCTGGCAACATGTGTGTGCTGTCCACCTCCATAGTGGACATGTGTCCTGTGGTTGTTTTCACTGTCACCATGTGCTGCAAGGAAATATTGCTTGAGTGCATCTGCATGGTCCATACTGGTTCATCCTTTTCATGGTTTTCAGCATCTCTCTGTCCTGTCTTGTTCATGTCACCTTCAATAGGAGAACCCTCCAGTGGTGGCACAGAATTGACCTACGCCCATGTTCTGTTGTTTCTCCGTGTGCTGGGGAGGGAATGCTTTGGGAGCAGTTCCAGACAAAGAGTTAATCCTTCCTGGCTGGGAGGCAGTGATGTGTGTGCCAAGGCTTCAGAGCAGAGTATTTTCTGGAGTCATGCGAGGTTGGGTGCTGTGGTGAGCAGGGAGAAATCCAGGTGCTGTTTGACAATGGGTTGCTCTGTGCCCAAGTCTAAATAAAGGTATGAGGGACACTTTAAGTTTCAGCTCTGTGTGTATGCATTGTTCTCAAGAGCATCTTTTTAAAGGATGTTCTTCCATCTGTTCCAGCTTGTCTATGCCCTTGCAAACCTGTGTATTCAAATTGAAGCTTAAGCTTGGCCCCACTGAAGGTTTTTCACAGAATCCTGTCGTTATAAAGGATTGCTAACATTTTTATGTCCTTCCATTTTTCTCATTTTCTCATTTTCTCCATTTTTCTGAACTGGCAGATGCCAAGTTCAGGAGCTCCTAAAAGTGGCTGATTGTCTGTCTTTTTATGGGCTGGAGTCAGCACTTTCTTGGGGGTTGGGATGCTTCCAGCTGCCCCAGGCTAGTCATCTAGAATAACTTGTTGCTTTAAAAAGAAAAAAAAAAAAAAAGAGGGAGGGCACGGGGAGGAGGGAAAATAACCTGAAACACTTCTTAACCAAACACATAGGACAATTGCATGAAGGCTTCTAGAATTGCCATGAAGGCTTCTTTTGTTGCTACAGCACACAGAACCTGCTGGAGGTCTTCATCTCTGGAGCCTCGTGCTCAACCCTTCCTGTGTCCTCTCAGGTGCCTCCTGCATGACAGTGGAATGTCACAGTGCTCTCAACAGCCCTTTGGGGTCCAGAGCCCCCCGTGGATGTCCTTTGTGGTGTTAGACCCAGCATTGCACTCCTGAGCACAGTGGGGACTTTGGAGGCACCTAGAGCATCCTGCAGGAGAGCAGCTGTGCTGGCAGGGAAGCCCAGTGAGTGGCAGCCCCCCCTTTGCTCCCTGTTGTTCCTGCCAGCCTGGGTAAGCCATTGGCACCCAGCTGGTGTTGTGAAGCTGTCTGACAGGGAGAGCACTTGTAGGGTTCTTGCTGGTTTAAAGATTCCTGCTGTGAACAATGCTTTCCCCAGGAAATGTGAGTGTGCAGCAGGGAGCTGGTCTCTGCCTCTGGATGCTTGCCTGAGGCAGCTGGTGGAGTGCAGCAGGTTGGATAAAAACCATAGGCATCTCTTCATAAGAATAAAGATGGGTTGTGCTGGGTTTTTTTTGAGGCTTTGTGGTTGCTGTTTTCACTTGCCAATTTTTATTTTCTTTTCCAAGTTCTGGCAATGTTTGGAGGTGTCAGCACTCCTTTCTGCTAAGAGCCAAACATACCTGTGGTGGGAATGCTGGGTGGACCTCGTTGCATGTTGTGATCGGTGCGGGCTGGTTTCTGCAGCACAAACGCACACACTCTTCTCTGAGGAGCTGCTTAATTGTCAGAGAGCAGCTCGTGGTCTCCCTGGACTCTTGACCAGTGTGCCCAAGTCTTTGCTTGATGATTTGTGCCTGTAGGAAGTTAGGTGTTTCCCAGGCTTGCTCTGAGGTCATCTCTCCTTCCTCTTCTCCCTGCCCTGATTCCTCTGGAATGGGACTTTCTCAGGGCAACTTGTCAAGTCCTTGGGGTCCCATCCCAAAGGAGTGGCTCTGCATAGGTGCTTGTGCAGAAACGATTCTTGTAGTTGCTTGTGTTTTTGTTGTTTTTTAAAGACCTTTCTATTGCTCTTTCTAGTATTTTAAAAATCTTGCAAACTTGCCATTATATGTTGGAAAAGGGCATTTGCTTTCCCACTCTGGAAGGGAAGCATCATTGGGACCCAGGAGTGGAGGTGCTAGAAACATGGCTTTGAATCTTTGATGCTGCATGCTGAGGACTAGCTGTCCCTCAAAACTCCTTCTCAAGTTTTTTTTTTTTTTTTGACTGCTTTAATGCAGTTTGAGGGTTGCCTGGGCAGAGACATTGGATTTGGTATTGTCCTCTTTGAGTTCATTTGGCTTTTTAATGACCTGCTGAGCATAAAGAAGTTGGGCTAGGAAGTTCAAAAGTATTTATTTCCCCAAAGCCAGCCCATGTGAGCATTAGCTGCATGACGATTAAGTCCTAAATGCTTCAGAAGAAACAATGTGTTTTTATTGAGTCTCCTACTCTGTGCAGGCAGGAGTGCTGGCCCAGTCCCCAGCTCATGTTCCTATCCCATTTTGATCCTTCAGGTATCTTAAGTGCTGGACCTGTGTATGGAGCAAGGGATGGAGCCCTTTGCTG